AAAACATTGTCAATAAGACGTAGAATTAAATTCAATTTTCTGGTATTTCCTAAATTTTAATGAATTTCAGTTATAGAGCTTACAGATCATAGTAAATTTTCATAATCTTCCATAATGCGCAATTGACTTATAGTAGTTTTAAAAGATTATTAATTATTTATTAAAATATGTGAGGTCTTTAATGAGGCATCACATAAAGCTGCAGTTCGAGTTACAGAGTTTGCATGTGCTATATCATTGTGTTTTTCACAAAGTGAGTTTTTTTTTTTTTAATTACAAAAATAAGTGATCTGAATTTTGTGCAGTGATGCACCACCAGATTTCATTTCAAACTGGCACTCAGTGCAATTGTAATCTTTGAAAAAGCTTGTGAAAACTGTCTTAAGAACACAGGCTTGTAATCTAGAGCTTTTCAGAAGGTTGAGATTCAGCTGAAGCTTTGCTCCTAAGGGCCTTTAACCAAAAGAATTGATGAAATGAACTAGATAGAGTGTCAGTCAACTGTTTTTCCTTCAGGCTTTTGAAAGACTGCAAAAGCATGTGGTTTGAGTCCAACTGGATATTTAAGGTATTATACAGTCAAAAGTCGTTAATTCGGACACCCATAATCTGGACCCCAAAGCTACAAACTTTCTGCGCATGCGTCACGTTGACACGTGCGCGTAAGACCTTTACGGCTGCGAATATGCGTGTGCGCAAAATACGTTTACGAATGCGCGTTTAATGTATAACGGACAGTATAAGCTAAGCTAAAATTATCTAATTCAGTTAATGTTGCAGATTGCGTTGTTCCTTAATCTTCGAATTGGATTCGGCTTATTATTTTTTGCAGACTGTTAGAGCAATTTTATAAAAGTAAGCTTGAACTTTCGATTATGCCAAATAGAATTTCTGATATATATTTACTAATATGTAAAGGATCTACAAAGCAAAAGTATGTTTCAAAGTCCATTAAACAAAAAGTATAATTGCTGCAAAAAATGGATAAAGGCATATCCTTTGTTTAACTAAACTTTAACGTTTGTTTATCTAAACTTTGTTTATCTTTAACGCCGCGGTGCGCAATAAATTGGAAGTTGATCTGTCAGCACTATCCTTATCTTCAGGGCAGATGTTTTTATTTTATTTGGCTTATAATTCCTTACTAAATGTAGTATTTCATCTCAATGTACTCCTTTGATATGATTTAAATCAATTTCCTCGTCATTATAATTCGCTTCCAATAGAGAAAGTAACAGAGGTTATTGAAAACGAAAAAATTTCCATTGACAAATTAGTCGATATTCTTGACACAGCAATTATAGGACTTGAACAGCGGAACTTTGTAACTGAACAAGAAATTATGTTTGTTTATAGAATTAAAGAGAATTGTATTATCACATAAAAAATGAAGCAACTTAAAACACTTACATTGAAAGAAATGTTTAATAAAGTAAACAAATAAATATTAAGCCTTTTTTTTTTTTTTTTTTTTTTTTTTGTAAATTTTGATACTCTTTAGATCATAATTGTTCTTTATTTCATAAATTACGGTTTCATATTTTTAATTTTATAATTTCTGCATGCCATCTTACCAGATTTAAACTGATGATCTATAATCCAGAAAAATCGATAATCCGGAATCGCCGAAGTCCTGACGAGTCCGGATTAACGACTTTTGACTGTATTATATATGTTAGATATTAAGTTAAAACTTCATTGCAATGTCCTTTTTCACATGATTTTTCAATATGACATTTTTGGCTTGAAAGGAATTCCTCAGCCCCCCTCCCCCTGTATTCGCCTGACGTCAAAATCCATCACTTTATTTTTCTGTTCACTAGCCTAATAACTGATTTAAATGAGGACAAAGCATCATTTTGAGTTATCTTCAGTGTTTTGGAACTACAGAAAATATTAAAAGAGGTTGTGACTTACCAGCTGAAGGCCATTTCAACTTTTGAGTTCCAGCACTACAATGAAGAGTAGGAACAATGTCTTGGGCAATATATGCCTGCCTAAGGGAACTAATTTGAAACGGTCAAGTGGATTTATAATTTAAATGTAAATAAAAGGGTTTCTAGAAGAAATCTCATTACTTTATTTACAGACCCTATATGTTTATATAAACATTTAAGATTTAAACTATGTTCTATTATATTAAATAACCAAGCAAAAGTGTACAGTTGTAGTTCACATGAGTTAAACAGTACAAAAAGTTTCTTGTGGAAAACTCATGTAAATTTTTACTTAATGAGTTTCTGCATTGTAAGTCTCAGCTATAAAAACACATTTTACAGCGTGAATTATTGTATTTCCAGTTGCATAAGATGCACTATAATTTATCATTTGAATTTACAAAAAATAATTGTATCAGATAAAAAGAAAAAAGAAGTACTTTAAACAACAGATAACACTTTAAACAACAGAAGCGGAACTGTTAAATTAAAAAATTAGCAAATATATCAATATTTATTCATTATAGAATCCCAGAAATTCATCATCATGCTGCTAAAATTATATACGCGGTTATTTTAACTTCGGTTGTCATTGGTGCTGGATTGATCTCTTTTCTTATACACAGTGTCATCTTCTCTTCTATCTAGAGCATTGCTAGAAGACTTTATGGTAATCTCACTTTTAACTTTCTGCCAGGACTTTCTCATTCACTCACAAACACTAGAAATAAATGACCATTTCATTCTTCCCCATTGGTGTGATGTCATGAGTTGGCACTTCAGTCCACTTTATTCACCCTTCGTGCACAGATTGAATGGTTCATTGACTGAAGCAGAGGCTGCTATTGAGAAACCAATCCATCAGGAATCATAGCATGATGTGTCTTCAGTTCAGTAGCAAGAATTTGTGCTGCCTTCATTATATGGGCCTTAAACTAACCGTATACTAATTAAAATGATTTCTTTATAAATATACCTTGATGCTTGTATCACGCTTTCAGTAACCACAACTTCATACCCTCTCCATCCATGTATACTTTGGGATGAACATGAATATGAATTCCATGTGGAATAATTTAAACTGCATTTTTTTGTTGTTGTTGTTGTTGTTTGTTTGTTGTTTGTTTGTTTAAATGTTAACAAAGAAACGAGTTTTAAACCATCAGCACAACATGTAAGAAATGCTGTATACTAGAAAAATAGTTCTGGTGTACTGCATTTCTCATTACCTGCATATCCACTGTTCTGTTTGATGGCATGTCAATGTTACCTCATCCATGTTTCATATTTGTCCTATCTTAAAACACATCTTTTTTTTTCCAAGTTTATGATGTATTTGTGGAATTCTGTAATCTTTCTTTTGTATTAAGGTGGCAGTTTTTGTGCTACTGTAGTTCTGGTATGCATACACAGACAGTTTTTCTTCATGAATCTCTCGCACCATGTCGTTGTTCCAGAAAAATCTGCAATGGACATATCTATCACTAATTTTCTCGCTTCATTTGAAATCATTTTTGTTGAAACAGTAATCAAATTTTTGCTGTGATTTATTATCCAATTTTTAACATGATCCTCAAACTTTGGGATCCCATGAGCATAAAGTTCTTTTACTCTCCTGTCTGTATTCGCTAAATCCCATCTGTTGCTTTCTCCATTCTTGTATCATCTTCTGAATCAAAGGTGGACCAAAACACTTAAGAGCTGCTCTGTTTCTGACTTGTGAAGCATAATTCACAACTTAAATTTAATTGCAATACAGTACGGCAGTCTTCTGTCTTTAGATCCCATGAGGGTACTCAAGTTTTAATTTTTTAATGCAATATTTAATTTTTTTGTGTAAAAGCAGATATTAATACTAAAGAGAAAAAAAGATATTGAATGACATTGTCATACTTGTACTCTCAAAGTTTGACTGCCTTTAGACTCCAAGTTTATCATAAGAGATACTCTGATTTCAATTAACCAGTCACCAAGATACTTTTATTTTGAGCTAGTTGAAATTGGTCAACCAGGCAAGCTTTTTTATTTTGAAGTGCCAAACACAAAGTAAACAAACAAAGGTGAGTTATGTAGGTCCAGCAGCTCTCATTAATTGTTGCTTGTGTTTTAAAAGGTAATAATAATAAAGAAAGAGTATTACCCTTTTCAAATGTAAGTTAGGTTAAAGTGAGTGATAGCATAGGAAGGTGAGAAAAGTTTGACGGCTTTGAAAGCAAAATTGCTTTTGTACTGTTCACATGATTGGTTGTCATGGTTTATAATGTATCTTGTTATTGGTGCAGTGTGATTTCAAGCAAGACGTAGTGCTATTTAATTTTGTTAATTTATCTTTAATGTCTGGTAGAACTAAAGCAGAACTTTTTATAATTTTATCCATTTTATAAAAATGGTGCCTCTTAAAGTAATTCTGTATTGCCCCTAAATAAGCACCACAAAAGTTATTTTCTAAGCTACCTTCAGAATTGTGGTCCACAGTCTATCATACGAGATGAAACTATGCATTATGTATGCATTACTTTGTATATATACAATTTATTTGGGAATTTTATTAGGAAGCGCTGTCAAGGAAATATTAAAACTGTGTTGCTTTCTGCTGACTCAAAATAGTGTTGTAACCAACATTTGTAATAAAGGCAGCTATTTTCTATGCCTGATATGGGAAAAATATGTAATAGTATTTTTGCATGGAATCAGCTTGTGTCTTAGAGGATGAAGTTATACCTTCAGCCCAGATTTTAGGGCACATTTTGGAGGGAAGAAGAGTGTGGCTTATGGTCCAGGAAATACAACAATTTATTCTTAAGGTAGATATATTTCTTTCAAGCTGTCATCTGATATTTTCAGTTTATTGCTCTATAAGATGAGAATATTGTGTTGTTATAACAAACTTTGCTGTTTGTTTTCATATTTTTCAATAATTTAGCAGTTATTAATTTTAAGGTTTTGATTTAAGACAAATTTTAAAAAAATGTTTCCTCTTATTATTATCATAAGCATATTTTAAATATTAATACTTTTTTGTTTCTTAATATTTTTATGATTTGATTTTAAAAAATTTTACAGATCAAGAGCTGAAAAACATTATTGACAAACTCGCACAGTTTGTTGCTCGCAATGGTCCTGAGTTTGAGCATATGACAAAGCAAAAACAAAAGGATAATCCAAAGTTTTCATTTCTGTTTGGTGGGAGTTACTTTCACTATTACCAGTATCGTGTGACAACAGAGCAAGCAAGTAAGTGATTAGTAAAAAATTATAATTTTTTTTAAAACAAAAATTTTTAAGTCATTAATAATGTAGTCAGTAAATCTAATTCATTTAATGATTAATGATATTTCCGAATTCTGTTGTTGGACTACAAACACTAGAGAAATTGAATTGGTTCACACTGTTTTAGCGAAACAATGTTCTAAAAAAAATTTAACCGACTGAGCACGTCATTAAATTGTGATACTTATTTAAGGAACAAATTAATTGTTAAGTTATTTAAATTCCACTACTTGCTATAAGTCAATAATAACCAGTTTGAGTTTTTTTAATCCATATTGCTGCTGTAAGAAAGGGATTCTCCCTCCCAAATCAAGTTATTTTAAAAACCCAATTATTTGAAATGAATTATTAGTCATATTGTGAGTTATTGATTTCTGAGTGATTATTTTAAAATCATTGAAACATATATTTGTAATTTGTTACTTTTTTATAATTATAAAAGGTTTAGTAAAATATGGATAATCATTAATTTTTTTTTTTAACTTTTCTCTTATTATATGCATCTGAAATTTATTTTCATAATTTGCTTCATTTATGGCATCTTATACATGAAATTAAAAGCTATGTATTTAATGAAGTGAAGAAAAAGGGATAGTAGAAATTGAATTTCATAGGGAACTTGTTTTCTTGCAATATATATGTCAAAGATCTTTTTTTCAATTTTCTTGGCTCGATTAGACTTTTGATAAAAATTCTGAGGCTGGTTACCCGTCAACAATCTTGCCAAATGAGAACATAAATTGTCTTAAAATAGGAATTAATTATTAATGTAATTGAATATATTGAAAATTAGAGCATTTTTTAATAAATTATTGAATGTGACTCTAATATATGAATAAATTCTAAATATAATTGATGTGAAAATGTGTAAGCTCAATGTTATATTTCAGGTAATTTAACAAATAGTTGCTTCACCAATACATTGTTTAACAAATAATATTCTTTTCAGTGTATTTATGTAAGATAAAAAAAATATGTTAGGCAATATGTAAAAAATACAGGGTGTCTTTACCAAACTTAACATGTTAGTCTGTCATATCTTGGCAAACAAGATTTACATAGGAACTTGTGCCTGAAAATGTAAACTAGTACTGCTAGAGAGCAATTTTTGCTCGTTTATGGAAGAGTGGGAAGTCTGATCATTTCAGGTGGGGGCGATACAAGAAATGATGATTCATTTTATGATATGATAACTCAGTTCTTTATGGACATTTTATGGAAAGAGTTTTGCCGGATATGATGATTGATGTTCCAGCAGTTACATGACGAATCATTTGGTTTCAGCATCATGAGCACTTGCAAATTTTAGCAGCGCTGTGCGGAAATGTCACGATAAGCCATATCCTGATCACTGGATTTGCAAAGGCAAACCAGTTGCATGGCCACCACAATTCCCGGACCTGATTCTCCTGGATCTCAACCTTTAGGGTTACATGAAGTCGATGATGTACGAGACAACAGGAACGTCGGACATGGATTTCATTGCGAGGATCGTGGAAGCACCGGCTCATGTCCATGATGCACCTGCCCATTTTGAATGGGTCCGTGAATCCATGCTTTGACGTTGTGAAGCATGCATTGCTGTGAATGGAAGGAATTTTTAACATCTTCTGTAATTTAACCATGTTCTTCAAAAGCCATATTAACACATCTTTTGTCATTTTTTCTTTCTTCCCCTCTACGCTTGTGAACATTGCTCTCTAGTGGTTGCCACTCACTTTTTCAGACAAAAGTTGTTATATAAATCTTGTTTGTCATGGTATGACAGACCAGCATATTAAGTTTGTCAATGACCTTTTGAGACACCATGTATGTAATTTTAATTTGCAATAGTTCCTGAACTCTGTATATTAATTTGGCTGTTTCTCCTTTCTGTTCTAAAAGTGACAGCTGCTTATAAATCTATACGTCATTTTAAAATTAATGTATTACATAATATTAATGAATTATATAAATGCAAGCACTTGCATAAATACTTCAGAGAAAAATATATCAATAGGAAGTGAATTTTTCATTAATAGTGTATAGAAGGGGTCCCCAATCTTTTTGTCTGTAAGAGCACATTTTAGAATATCTGTTGAACGGCAGGCATCATTTACTTTTTCAAGGTGAATTTATAGTTGGATATACATGCGCATAAAAAAAAGAGATCGGTCCCATTTCGCTTTGTGCTGGTATCTGTATTGGATGCAGTTTTTATGTCAATAAAAATGAGAAAATTGTCGCATAGAATTTTATTGAAAACTAAAACATTTTTATTGTGATTACATTCTATATGTTACATTTGTTTTTACGATAATAATAGTAAAGTAATCTAATTGTTAAAATCAATATCAGAATATTTACTTGCCAATTTATCAAAAATTCGTATTTACATCAAACAGAAGTATAGTAGATTTGTTTATGTGAGTGTGTGTTTGTGCATGTGTGTGCATGTGCATCACATGATGATGATATAGTTGTGGATGAAAGAAGGCATCTAATAGCTTTCTAGTCATGTACCAGAATAATGTTAGATGTGGCAGACAATCAGGTTGCATATTAGATGATTGGAACTTTGAAAAGCACAACTAGCGTGATAGTTACAGCATTATGTTTTTGATGGATAATTTTTCTTAGCACATGTCTTCCTGATTTCACTATAGGTGCCCCACAATTTTATATAAAACGCATCATATTTTTAAACTATAGATGAAAGATGCAAAGCGGCAAATAGATGCTAGTTAGGCGAGGGAAGGAAGAAAAAGGTGACTGCGCATTAGCTGCTGGGGTATATACAGTGAGAAGGGGTCAGTGTTATGAATTTTGTATATATGTAAATTAATTTAGTAAAACGGCAGTATCTTTTATATAATGTAACTAAAAATTAGAAGAGGCAAAGCTTTGCCTGAAAAATAAAAATACAAGGACAAGTCTATTTAGCATATAATAAATGATTATCTCGCTTAAATTGGCAAAACATCGGCAAGCTAGGGATGGTTCTGTCTACTAATTTTTGTCGCCAAGCTTGCCAACATTTGAGTGCAGTCCCTGTAATTATTGTTGTAATTAAGTAAATGTAATTGATCCCTATATGTAACTGTATCCAGGCCTCATATGCCTTCCAGTAATTTCAAGAAGTGGAAGCTATTAGAGATTTCTCGGCAGACTGGGGAAAACTATATAAGGCCAGAGAGATCATCAGTTTCTCAGTTCTTAGTTCAGAGCTGAATTCGAAGTATTGAGATATCTGTGAGAGCTTCGCCTTTAAGATGTGCTTTACATTGGGCTGTGTTTAACATTCTTAGTAGCTTGAAGGGTAACTTCTCATTGTACTGTATGAAACTGAGAATAGCTGTATGAGTATTTTTGAAAAAAGTTGAAGAACTGTTTTTTTTGGGGGGGGGAGTAAAATAAAATTTATTCAAGCTATCGTCTGTTCAGTGTGCATTCAATCCATTATGAACTCGTACATAGGCAACAGTATGAAAGTATTCTAAATTTGGAGTCGTTAAATAATTGAAAACATGCACAGTTCTTGAAATTCTTTTTGAATATCACTATTTGAATTTACACTCCTTGTGTTTTGAAAGTCTTTCATAAAAACTATGATGATGAATATAAAAACAAAACATTTCCATAATATTTTCATGAGATTCTATTAAAATTGATAATTATTTACTCATTATATAAAAGAAAACTAGATTATTTTATTGTAAAGCAATGTAAAATGTATTTTAGAAATTAATACACACAAATAAACAAAATATAATACAATGTAATTTTAAGGTAAAGTTTGGTGAAAAATAGGTACGTCCTCTTCAAGCAAATTAGCATAAGAACATGGGAATGGTTGTGGGGTACTTAAGTACAACTGCACATAAAAAAGTCTCCTCCTTATGCTGGCTTTTTGCACTATAAAAATATCAAAGTTTCTATTCATGATTTATGTCCATAAAAGTTATTATGGACTGTATATGGTTGCAAAATCCTTTGAATTCTAAACAATGGTTAGACAAAAGAGAGAGAGAATTTGGGAATGACACAGATAGGTGTTGAATCCAGAATGAAGAAGAAACTTAGAAGTCAAATACTAGTTGATACATTAATCGTTCCTATTCCAGAACAGTTGAATTTTTTATTTTGTTGTGATAGGAAATAAAGTAGTATCTTAGCAAGAACAGAGGTAGAAGCAAAGTATCTTGTGTTCAGGATGAAATCATAATCAGAATGAGTTAGTTTCAGTTCACATCTGAGTAATTTTTATCATCTGCTATGTTTGCACGTAGAATAATAAAAATTCATAATATGGAGAATTTTTAGTCATTTGTAATAATTATTTGTATAACTTATTAAATATCGCATGGTATTCAGGTATGAATTGCTGTTTTTTAATAACTGAAATTTTAGCCTTTCTATAAATAGGTATTACGAGTTCTTATGTGATAATTTTCATTCACACAGAAGTCTATTTTCATTGGTATAGAGATACTGGTAATGCTGGTAAATCTTGTCTAATAATATTAATTTATGTATTAGATAAGCATAGATATACTGAAAATACTACATCATATAAAGTAATGCTGTTATAGTCTTAATATTTTTTACTTACATACTAAATTTTACTACCCTTTAGTTTTGAAGCAAAAACAGAGGAGTCTGGAACAACAAGCGATTGTTCAGCAAGCAATCAACCGCCAGTCTTTACAAACTGCTCCTTGGCAACAGCATCTTCATCAGCTTCAAGACACATCTCAAGAACAAATTAGGCAAAGTGAGCAAAATCTAGCAGCACAGCATCAACTTCTTTTGCAGCAGCAGCAAGTAATTAAAATTTAATTGTAATATTTTTGCCTGCATATGTTAAGCATCTTAGTAATTTTACATTTTTTAATAGTTGATTTTTTTGGGTGGTTAAATTACCTTTTTTTTATTTTTCATTTTATTCTATTTGTGGTTTAAAAGTTATGAGAAAATTTAATTCAAATAGGAAATCTTCCGTAAAAACAAGTGTGGGCTATATTATCAAAAATTCAATTTTTTGTCATTATTTAATATAAATTTGTTAAAATGGAATAAAAATTTCATACGTAAAGCAGCATTTTGTACTATTTACGGAAAGTTTATTATACTGACATTGACAAGTGCAATTTTGTTTAAAGTGTCTAGCTTTGTACACACACACACACACACAAAAAAAAAAAAAAATTCTGTGTGTATTTTTATAATAAATAATCAGGCAAATAACATTTTATGTTATTACTTATCGGTTTAATTATTTGAAATGTTCAGTTGTGTTTCTTGTGAGAGTTTAAAACTCAGATGCAGCTTTGCCAAGAGACAAAGTATGTTAATAGTTTTTTTTTTTTTTTTTTCTTTTTAATGAGATTCTTGGGTAGTTTGTTCTTACAATTGTCTCCAGCCATACTTTGTGATTTGTGCCAAGATCTCAGTTATAATTTTGCCAAGCTCGTGAAGTATGAATGTAAAAATAAACGACACAATATATAATAACAATAGTACTCGCATGTTTTTCTCTAAAAATATTTTTAGGACTCCTTATCATTATTATTTTATCATATGTAATTGTTCCAGTTGTTCCAGTTTATTTTATCATATGTAATTGTTCCTGCAGCACTTTCACACATAAAATGTTTTTGTTACACCATTTCATGGCCATCAACTGTTCTGCTTAAGAATATATATATATCTATTAGCAGAGATGAACGATATTTTGGAACTGAACTAGTTTCCAACACAAAGGCTCTTCTTTTTTGCAGTATTTCGCATTGCACCTCCAAGTGGTTTTGCCATTAACATAAAATTTTATATTGTGGCCATTTTCGCTTACTCTTATGTTAGGTAAAAGACCTCAATGATATGGCATCCACATCATTATTTCCTAAATTAAAGATTGTTAACATCATATTCACATAAAAAAAAGCAATGAATATATTTTTAAATAGACAATTTGAAACTTCATCAAAAATGAATAATGTAAGAACACGCAGCAAGAGCAAGAATGCAACACGGTGCTAAGATATGATTACATGGCGAAGAATAAGAACGCGCAAGCTGGTAGTAATATACCATCAAATGGCAAGGTATAAGAACATGCAGCCAGATTTTGCCTAAATATCTTTGTTGATTGGCGAATTAATCTCGGGGGCTGCTATGACAAATAAGTGTGCATTTTTTATCACTTAATGAAGTTGATTGTTTATATATACTGATCTTAATTTTTTCCCTTTTAAATTCTAGGATTTTAATATTTGTTGCAGTTACAGATATTTCTGTTTCGTTTATACTATTCTAGAATATTCTCTGTAATATTAGTGAAAGTAATTTCATTGAAAGAGTACAATGATAAAAAATTAAATTAAGAAATGTATTATGAAGCATTTCCAAATTTGTCTCAGAACTGAAAAGAATGTTTAGATTGTATTTGTTAAGCAATTGTCAGAACAATGGAAGTTAGAAACAGGGAATAGAACAACAGAAAGAGCATAGTTTGAATGTAAAATGCTGTTAATTTTCTACTCATCAGTGATAGGATTAAAAAAAAAATTAAGAACCAGTTTGCTATTGAAATGTATGATAAAATTAGCTATGAAATAGTGGTAAATTACCTTTAACAACCAATTTGGCAAATTAAATGTAGTTTAGGAAGTGGTTCTACTGAACCAGTGCAAATTGGCTGAATTTATTTGTGTTTTAAATGTAATATTTTTGCAACCTGTGTATTTTATAAAAGATTTAGGTGTTGAATGAACTGAAATTGCCATATATAATTCTTATATTGCTTATTCTTTTATTGATATGAAATGTGTAATGTTGTTGTTACATGAAAAGCTTTACTTATTTTTCCCCACTGTAGCAGTAGGTAATTGTTATAAGCCACTTTAAAACAAAACAGAGAGGTTAATTTTTAGATATTTGCAAATTATAACCTAAAATTGTTTCATTAAAACTTTTGATATAATCAGAACTAAGAGATTTACTAGTGTTTGAGAGCTATTAAATAATTGTATGGGTCTTGAATGATAACCTAATTTATAATAATAAATTGCTATATTAATGAGTCAATTTTACTGTAGTTTTAGACTGCAGTTTCTTCCCCCCCCATGAAGTGTATGAAATATTTATGAATAACATAATGGAAACATAATTTGAAATTCAAAGCAACTATGAAATAATAAACTAATGTTTTTAACTTCTACAAACTGATTTAATATGATTAAAATTTCCTAAATGCTTAAAGCTATTTCTTTGTTCTAAGCTATTACTTAAATTAATTAATACTTAAATTGACACCTTGTTAAAAAAATTCTGTAGTTTTAAAAACTGTTACAAATACTTGTTTTAAGTTCTTAATATATTTTCTTTTTCTATGACCGTATCAATGTTGGCTACTTTCATGATATCCATAAAAGTAAACTGAAAATTACAGTATCGCAGATTATATACTGTATAACTGCATAGTTAAAAAAATATAATATTTTTCATTTCTCTCCAGTCATTTTGTCTTTGCAACGTTTTTGGCGACTAAAGAGACACCTTCATTATCATTTCCATCTTCCAGCATTTTTTATTTCCTTAAAGAACAAACATTCATCAACTTCTCTACAGTTTTGTTTTCTCCACCTTTCTTGCAATTTGCTTTCTTATCCAGAACAATTTCTGTAGATAATTACACAAACTTTCAAACTTTTTAATATGATTTTGAATTTTGCTATCATGCCAAATATCATTTCAGAATCAGCTATAAATGAACTGTAATGTGGCCACAAAGGTTATTCTGTTATCCTCCGTGTAAAAACCAGATTTTTGTTGACAGCCTTTTATGCAGCATTGGGAACAACTTGCTGCAAACAAATGCAGCTTAATTAACCCACTAATGGTAAATATTTGCTTAAAAGAAGGAACTAAAGATTTCTTTTAACTATTTAAAGAAAAGAAAAGAATTTTTGTTATATTCCGATTATTTGCTCAGCCTTGGCAAGAATCACTGGGCAAAGCGCAGTACCTAACATTTTATGAAGATTTATTTGTCTGGCAACCCATTATTGGTTGTGCACTTATAATACCACCTGAGACATTGTAACTGTGTATAAGGGCTTCATAATGCATGTGATTTTGAAATTCGAGGGCCATTAATGTGTTTTCTACTTGGTGTATTTTTTTAGTCTGAAGGGGCTTTGTCCCTGAAGGACTGTTGTTTTCATTTTGCAATTTTGCGTTGGTTCACTATAAATGTCTGTTACACTTTTCAAGCTGTTGCCACCAAATGTTAGAGTCCTGCATTATAATTAAAGAAACTAAATAATGAAAAATCTGCTTAAATGTATGTATGTTTCTCGCATTGTCATAAAACAATGGTACATAGAGCCATCGAATTTTGAATGACGTAATCCTCCTACACGTATGGACATGTGGAGGCCCAAATTTAAAATTTGGAATGTGTTTTATTATCGATTTCATATTTAGTAAAATGAATTTTTGATTAACAAATTCAAAGTTTTCAAAGCAAGTAGTGACAGTGTTGTACAGAAAAACATTTTTATCTCCAGCGTGTGAGTCTCTGTATCGGAAATTCTAAATATATGCACATTTTAAAACTATTTTGCGATATTGCTGTTGAATTGAATTTTATGGTTTATATGCGAAGAACGTGACATTTAATAAATAAGTGTAACACAAAAAATGTTTTAAAAAAAATGCCCCTTTAATTTAAAATCTTAAAAGTTAATTTAAAATCTGAAACCTTTCAGATTTTTCACCCCCTTTTTTTTTTAAAGTTTGTTTGTTTGGTCCTAATGAATTATGCTACTGTGGAGCTTTCCTGCTAATGGAGAACAAGGTGTCGCATTTTTTCAGAAATGTGGTGTTTTGCCTAGTAATAGAAAGTGTAGGAATGCACATTCCTTGAATTTAATTTTTGCATCTCTCTGATTTTCTTTTAGTTAAAACAGGTCGATGTGAACGTAGAGAGCATGGCCAAGTAACTCTGGAATGCCAAGAATTCTAGAATTTTTTTTAGATATCTTTTTTAGTTAAAACACATGCACAAAAGGCAATGGGAAAAAAAAAAGAAAGTGTGTTATTATAGATGTTTGTTGTGTTTTTAATTGAATTATTTTTTTACTGTAATGTAATTTTGAGTGCTTTCTTTATAGATGCTTTTGTTATGCAATTTTCATTATATCATTTTGGATATTTCTTGCATTTTTAATTTCATTAATTCATTGCTTGTATGATATAATTTTCAGTGCGCTGCCATTTTTTAAAATGGTTATTGTTTTTCATGTGTGTTTGGTAAAAAATTAGTCACCAACAATTGCGACTTTACCAAATTTTAAAATGCAGCATCATGGAAAGTTATATATTTTCTATATGTAGAATTTTATATTAGTATATATTTAATTTTAATGGTTTGAATTGTTTTTGTGTGTTTTTAAAGGTTCAAGTAGATGAAGTTATTCGCAAAGCTCAGGATGAAAAACTTTCTAAATTAGCGAATGAGAATGAACTGGACCTAAAAGAATTAGATAGTGTTTTGCAACCTATTATTGATAGTTGCACCAAAGATTCAATATCGGTAATGTAAAATCCATTCTTTCTTATTTTGAAATGCAGCTGTATATAATAATGTAATAAATAATAGTTTTTTTTTTTTTTTTTTTTTTTTTTTTTTTAACTTGATTGTATTAACTCTATTCAGTTAAATTTCATGATTTTATATTGGCAAGTTTTGCATTTTTATGGCCAAAAATATACATAGGATTAAAATTACTATCTTTATGTTGCAGTATTTCCATACCACTTGTGCTGATCATTAGAATTGTAATGTCATTATCTGTTAAGTAAAATTCTATTACTGTAAGAACCTTATTAATTTAGCCAGTATGAACTCTCGCAATTTTTGAAATATTAATTATGATACAACTAAACGTTACTACTGAAGATTGATCACAGTACATTCCTGTAAAAGTTGAGTATTGATGTGATGTCTTTAGTTTTACTGTAGCATCATTTTATTTAAATCATTTCTCAAAATTTGCCTATCCAAAAACTTAAAAGAAGTTTTCTCTAAATGTTGAGTTTGTTTTCCTCAGTCTGTTATATGTTTTAATATTCTAATTTATGCAACTTGGAGGGCACAGTTTGTAAAAATTTTTAAGAAGGGGGAGAAAAACAGTTTTGTGAGCAGGATGAAGAAAGAACATTTGAAATATTTTTGCTGGGTTGCATTTTGTGAGTTGCAATTATCAGTTTAATTTCTTATGAGAATTCAAGACGGGGTTGTTTTCTATTCTGACTGCAAATTTCATACTAGGAAAACTTTTTTGAAGCAATTGAACATCTGCTAAAATAGAGAACTTCTTACCAATTTACCATATATTTCTAAGTTTTAAAACAACTATTGGAAGGCTAATCTGCCATTCTTCAACCAACTGTCATAAAGTGTATAGCTGCAGAAGACAGCAGAATGAAGAATAAAGAGGGGGCAAGGTAAAGGAAGAGAGAAAGTAAGACACTATTTGTAAGATAGGCATCCTTGAGTTATAACCTTCAGTATTTGATTTGGTATGCTGTTTAATAATCATCAAATCTTAAGTGTCTTCATAGTGTATAATAGCATATGGGACATTTTAATTGCATTAATAAACTTAATCCTAAAGGTTTAATTTGGTGTGCCACAATTAGTTATCCTCAAATCTTAATCCTCATAATAGTGTGTACATGGGATATTTAATACATTAGTTTAGGCCTTGGGCCATATGTTTTAGAATTTGGATTGTAAAAATTGATGCAATCAATAATGATGGTAATTATGTTTAGTGAGCTTAACAGTTTCATATTGTCTTGTTTAAAAATGGGGTGAACAAAATAATGATAGGATTTGATATAAATGCAACAATAAATTTTATTAAATAAGTTGTGAAATATTATTAATGTAACTGTTAGTTAACACTCCAGAATGAATCAATATTTTTCTATTTATGAACTTTTAACAGCATGATATATATTGAAATTATATACAGCCACTACCGTATATACCCGCGTATAAGTCAAGATATTTTGGACAAAAAAAAGACTTCAGAGTGGAGAGGTCGACTTATACATGGGGCCATAAAAAATTTTAAAAATCGGAAGTTCAAAAATTTCTTTATATAATGCTGTTGTTTTCTTCCCGCACTCAAATTGGACGACTTATCAAATAAGTCACTTACTTGAAGTAATTTCATGACTTAAATTTATGTGGCAAACTAATCGTAGAGTTTCATACTTTAACTAGAGTAAGTTTGGATTAAACCAAAGAATTTTCAGCCAACTTCAAATTCTAGAAGGTAGCATTAAAAAGCCCGATATTACATTAATTGCTCAGTGGGTTAAAGATGCTTGGAACAAAATACCGTCTGAAATGATTATAAAATCATTTAAAAAATGTTGTATTAGCAACGAACTAGACGGCACGGAAGATGATGCTGTTTTTGAAAGTGAAAATGATGGCGAAGGCTCTAGTAGTGATTGTAACAATACAGAGTTCGAGACTGAAAATATGTATGATGACGAGCCAATGACGACAGAAGAGTTCTATGAAATGTTTGGCAAATCTGACCGTGAATCGGACACGTTGAAGGATTTTGATTTTGTTTATTTACCAGGGTATTTTTTATCGTATATTTACTTTTTTTTCTCAGATGATTTTGAATAAATGTAGTACTTAAAAAAAAATTTTTTTCGAAGTTTCTCGATCGATTTCGGAAGTGGGGGGTCGACTTATACGCGGGTATATACGGTATTTACACTTGAGGATGAGATCATGCTGACAGCTTTTCCCATCATTCATCCCTCTGGATAGAAAAGATCAGAATCTTTTCTCTGCAAATAAGTGCTTTTCAACGATTTCAAAAAAAGAAATTTTCAGGTGGCTTTATACATTTCTTCTTCTATTCATTTGATTCTTCTCTTATGAATTATATCTTTTATGCACTCAACTATCTGGCATTTGGGCATTTCTGAAGCTTTCCAGATAGTCAAAATTTTACTATACCAAATTGTTTCTGTATGTCAAATTCTTCTGACTATGATGTTGAAATGAATGTATCCATTTTTCTGGAATATGTAAAATTTATTCGTATTCCCCTCTAGCTTTTTGAACATATGATTTATAAACTTTTGATCTATCATTACATTATGCAATATATGAATAAAAAGCAATGGATGTTTTGTGAGAGGAAAACTGAGAGCATTAAAAGTACTTGCCTTTAAAACTGGTATGCGCTGCTTAATTTTTCCCTTTTGAATTTCATAAGATAAAAATTAATGAAAAAAAGGTCTGAACAATGCAAGTAAATATGATATTTAAATTGTAGTTTGATTTTTTATTTTACATGTATGTGTATATGTTCCAGAAACAGTTTGGGAAATATTGAAATAAATATGATATGTAAATTGTAATGGGAATATGTATGATATATGTGCATAATTTGTTTAAAACTTAATACAAACTTAATTATTTATTTTTGTAACTGCAAGGTAATTATGAAAATATTAATTCTTCTCAAATTTTTAGAATGGAAAAGGGTGGATTTTTGCTCATGCGACCAACTATCCGCGTTCAGAAGTTGTTATCCTGTATATTTTAAAAAAGTATGTATTATTAATATTGTGTATATATGTATGTAATTTAATTGCAGTTTTTTTTTTTTTTTTTTTTTTGTTGTTGTTGTTTTGTTTTGTTTTTTTTGTTGTTGTTTGTGCATTACTTAATTAACCTTTGGTTTTGGTGTTTATATGTGTAAGAAATTATTGCTGTTAAGGTCACATGCAATTTAATTTGAAATTGCTCATGAATAATTCATTCCAGATAGCACTAGTGCACTAATGATTGCATCAAATTAAAATCTGCAAGATTCATACAGACCTTAAAGTACTTTATATGTCCGTAGGTTTTTTGGAAACAGTGTTTGGGCCTTAGTTTTGGCTAATATGGACAAAAGTCCTTATTTAATGGATTTGATAACGGAAACCATTTTTTTTTAAAGGGTTTGGAATCCCTGCTATAGTCAGACCTTAAACGTCCTTTCAAAATAAATAAATGAAGGTGGTATCTAGGGTAACTATAAGGCTTGACTGCTGTAACTTTGACTAAACTCTGTTTTACTTATACAGTTAGGCAGAGTAACAATTTTGGTGTAGATTTTAACCAAGACTCTTAAAAATTGTGCAGGTGTTGTGCTGCAGCCATTATCACAGTCACCTAAGAAAGTTGATGTACTAGTCTCAAGCTGCACAATTGCCATAATAATACCAGTTCTTGTTTACAGATTTTCACAGATGTATATTCTTTTGTCCAACAATAAATGAAGCCAATAGCTGTTGCAAACCACTTGTGGCTGTCTTCAATTTCTGACTTACATTCTAACACTCTACTTCTAATTTTTCACACTGCATAAAATTTCATTGTTTGAGAAGTACAACTTCAAGGCATGCGAATTTTTGTATTCTTGGGCAAATGCCATACTTCAGCAATGCATTCATTTCATCAGCTTTCAAACTCCACATTCCCATTATGATTCCTTATAAGGGGAAAAAAGTGTAATCGATACCAAAAACAATTACTAATCAGAAAAATGAATCAAATTTGGAAGGGTGAAATCTGCACTCGTCTGCTGTTCATGTGTGCATACCTGGATTGCCACATTAATGCATTTGTACAGCATCCTGAGTTGCCTATTTTGCCAATATACTGAGTTCCTTAGTAAATATTTTTCATCGGGGAGTGAGTGATCAGAACAAAAAAATGGCCTAAAATGTCAGAGCATTTAAAATCTATCTCCAACACAATCTGGTCATAATATCTTCCAGGGCAAATTCATTATCCTATAATTTACTTGTTATCAGGCTTTGTGAATGATAGTAAAGGAAAGTATTACAGTGTTGTTTAAGGAAGTCCTTCAGTACTAATATGTGGCATTCTTTATTTCTAAGCACTTCTGAAAATTATGTATTTCTGACATGAGTGTTTGTCATCTGAGGCATTTTTTATTCAAATAATTTGTTTATGAGATGAGGTTTCACTATGCTCTTCCATACCAATTAGGGGCTGTGTCTGAAGATGTTATTCCGAAGGTTCTAGGTGTAAGAACCATTTGGGAACATGTCCCATCTCAAGTAGAAATAAAATAATTTTCAGTCATTATGCATTTGGAGAGAAAATCTTTGAAATCACCCGAGGAACTGTAATATGTAGAGTAATTAAGAGTTGCAGTTTTTTTCCTTTCTTCCCCCCCAGAGTTACTCATTCTTTTAGGGCTTAATCATTTCAGAAATTTGATAAATTAACTGATCATAGAAGTATATTTAGTAATAGGGGGAAAAAACAGCTTTTTTCTTTTTTCTTTTTCCTTTACATTTAATGAATATTGTCTTTAGTGTTTCCCAATTATATTTTTAAAAGGACACAAGCAATAAAAACTGCATTTAGTGGTTGTTGTCATTGCTGCTTATGCTCACTTGTCTGACGTAGCAGCCCAAGCCCATGAAATTCCTCGTGACAAGGATCGCAAGAGTACGCCTGTTGTTGGCAACAACTCTGAGCACCTAACAGGTGATAGTGCAATTTGGTTCAGTTCCACCCTCGATGGAGAGCACTCTGGGGGGAATGGGTCCAAAGGTCTCCCCCCCTCTCCCTTTTCACCTAACCACATGAGAAGACTTTCGACTTGCGCATATTTAGAGTGCCCCATGCCCCACCGATACTATACATTTACAAACATCCATGCCTTCTCCAGGATTCGAACCCGGAGCCCTTCAGCACGGCAGTCAGCGATGCTAACCACTATACCGGTTGGATGGTGTATTTAGTGTTTAGGAGATAGGTATTTAGTCTTTTTGACTAGTAACTATTGCATGTGCTTACACATTAGTTGTTTTTGAGGCTGATGCAGAGGTTCTCTACTAAGTAACTGAACTATGTGGTAGTCATCAAACCATAATATTCTTTTAAATATAGTCATTGGCCTGTAATACAATTTTGAATGCAAAAATAAATAAACAGACTGAATATTTTATTCATAAAATTTTTTATTAAATTATTAATATTGTATAAAAAATATTGATAATTTTTAAATTATCATACTTGAATAAGATATTAAATATTTTTTGTAAATCCTGTATTAAAATTAACCTAATTGAATATTGCAAGATGAATTGAAAAAGAAAACCTGTACTTACTTTTTTACATAAAAGTTGAATGAAAGTTTAAAAAATTGTATGTTTATATTATTGCCACATTTCTTTAAATTAAATTACATGAATGCATTTTGTCAGGATTCATTGTATTAGCTCTATGTGTGATAAAAGAATTAGGTTTTATGAAAGAAATAAACAAGTGAATTATTACCTTGGCATTATTAAAATACATTATATAGTGGTACCATGGTATAGATCATTAATGTGTTCCAGATCCTTATATGTATACCAGACTAATTTTATCAATAAGAAATAAAATCAAAACAAGATATTCTTATTAAAATAGCCTAGCATTATTATTACAACACTGTTTAATACAAGTGCGGTTGGTGAAATATATATACTGTAAATAACTGAAGCATTGTACATAAATGTTTTCCTGCTGTCCAGATCAAAAGCAATTTTTTAACATCTTTTATCTTTGTTTGTGTCTGTGTTTTTCACAACTATAGACACCTTCTCTCTGAGCATACTGTATGCAATATCCAAGTCCTGGATATGCATTCCATTTTCATACTTTTCAACAATCTCTTTCCCCCTTCCCCACCATCATGATGATCTTAACAATTTTCTTCATTGCTTCATGTTTTTCATTAACTTTCCTAAAAATCACTGCTAATGAATTTATAGAAAATTTCCATAAAAGAAAAGATGCAAAACCACTTAAAAACAACCACTTGAAAGTTGTAGTATGGATTATTTACTGAGTAGTAACCTGGCGCATACCGACACGCATCCACTGTCGTAAAATTGTATCAAAAGAGGTGAACATGTGTAGTGCATGTAGTCATGATTCACTGAACTTGAGTTGTATTCTAAACGAAAATTATCATATCCAAACAGGACATATGCCAAGTTGGACAAATTTCAAAGCAGACACAAACCAAAGTACTACTGTATTTATAATTAGATAAATAATTTGAACTGTGCAACTGTTTATTATTGTTTTAATGAGAAATTCTAAGCATTTGTTCCTTTGAATGCCGATTTTGCATGTTCTGATGATGATGATTTCAATTAGATAATTTAAAACAAATTTTAGTTTTTATTCAAATAGCAAGAATTGAGACAAAATGTCGAACAGGCCTAATTTTAATAATATTTTATTTTTTATTGTTCTTTAATAATGAATATTTAGACAGTCTTTATTGAAAACGTTATTGTGAAAATCAGACTCTTAACTTTTCATTTGTAGTATATTGCTGTGCATTCTGTTTTATTTATATGTAATCATTCATTTTAATAATTATTTTCCTTCAGAGTTACTGACCCAGGAGCAACTTTTGAAGCCAAGCTTCGACTTGTTTATCTAATAAATGATGTTCTGCATCACTGGTAAATGAATGCTGTAATTTTATTAAAATGAGTTTTCGTTTCTTGCTATTAACTGTAAACCATCTGCATACTGTACATATTTTTTGCTGTATAGTAACTGTTACATATTGATCAATATATTTGAGATTATAATTACATCATTTGTTTTATCATAATTGTCCTAATTCATTGATAACACTTTGTTTTTATAAATGTCAGTTTTACCTGCGATCAGTCACCAAGTTTGAGGGCATTTATTGCCAAATAATAGCAAACCCCAAATTAAGTAATAAGATGTACAAAATAATTTTTTTTTTTTTTCCAAAAGAAATTCCTCCCTTCCCGAATTTAAATTTTGCTAATTTTAATTTACCTTCAGGTGAAAATGAAGCTATTGCATTGTTCTGAGAAAGGGATGTTTTATCCTCTGCCCAAATTCAAGTGGCAAAAATCAAAATGGTCACGAATACAATCCCCCTGTCTCTCTCTTTTTAGTAAAAATTTTTATTTTGGGAAAGAAAAAAGTTTTTTTTGCACCCAGTTTCCATTACAGAGTGCAGTCTATTTAGAGGGAGAGGCTAAACTTTGTGACATTTCATCCTTGATACTTTGCTCGCCAGTAAAACAGACAAATATCCTTTGTTTCAGGAACTATCCCAGCAAGAAGTTTTATGTTGTAAACACTTTGAGATAGTTTCTTCCCTTTACATGCTTGACATTAGTATGTTCCTCAAGGGTTAGGGTTACCCTAAAATTTCATGAAACTGTCCTAGTTTGTCTTAATTTTTTAATAATTTCCCTAAAATTTTACATTGTTTTAACTTGTATTTTCTAAAAATTGTGCAATTCTGCTGAGATATGATTTGAGAAAAGTTTTTTAATGATACCCAAAAAATTTAGGAAGAGTAACCTATTTCTGTACATGATGTTCAATCATGTATATAAATCTTGTGTTAGAGTTTTTATTTAATAATTAATGTATTTTTATACATTAATTATTAAATAAAAACTATTTAAGCTGGAAAAACCTTCATACGTATTATATTTCAATAGAAATGGCTAAAACCAAAACCTTCATTTAGTTAATGTACAGATTACTTTTCTTCTCTTAAGTGAATAAAGGAAAATAAAATTCTTCACTCCAGTTGAAGTCTTAATGGCAACCTAGTCTTTTCTCTCTCTTTACTCTTACTTATCTTTTCAGCTGTATGAACTCTTTTTTTTTTTTTAATTTATTTATTATTATTTTTTATATGTTTGTAAATTGGGCATTTTTATGACTGGATGATGTTGTTCTTATCTTCCAGTTAAGGTTTTTATGCCAAGTTAATCTGTGTGCAATAGTTGTAGAATTTTCAACAATTTAAAAGTTGTTTAACCTTCCAGCATGTGTACTTGGCAATTTAACATGAGCATCATATTTTTTACGACATCCGTTATTTTACCATTTTTGGCACGAAAAACAACAGAAATGAGTGAACGTTGATGATAAATTTGTTAAGAAATAAAATATTAATCTTATTATTGCAAAATACAAATGATATCACATTCAGATATAAGTAAATTATTTTTAAGTTCTTATGTTAGTGAAATGGAAATGCAATGTTGTATTTCATTATGGAAAATTTGTAATTTATTATTTAATAATTATATTTTAAAATCGAAGCTGATTTTAATATTCACCAAAGACAAGTACAGTCAAAAGTCATTAATTCAGACACCCATAATCTGGAATGATCTATAATCTGGACCTCAAAGCTACAAACTTTGACGCATGCATGTAAGGTCTTTACGGCTGCGAATAGGCGTGTGCGCGCGCACAAAATACGTTTATGAATGCGCGTTTAATGTATAACGGACGATGTAAGCTAAGCTAAAATTATCTAATTCAGTTAATGTTGCAGATTGCGCTGTTCCTTAATCTTCTAATTGTATCCGGCTTATTATTTTTTGCAGACTGTTAGAGCAATTTTATAAAAGTAAGCTTGAGCTTTCGATTATGTCAAAAAGAATTTCCGATTCTGGAGCTATCAAAGGATCTACAAAGCGAAAGCATGTTCCGATGTCCATCAAACAAAAAGTGGAATTGCTGCAAAAAATGGATAAAGGCATATCCTTTGTTTATCTAAACTTTAACGTTTGTTTATCTTTAACGCCGCGGTGCGCAATGAATTGGAAGTTGATCTGTCAGCACTATCCTTATCTTCAGGGCAGATGATTTTATTTTATTTGGCTTATAATTCCTTACTAAATGTATTATTTCATCTCGATGTACTCCATCTTTGATATGATTTAAATCAAATTCCTCGTCATTATAATTCACTTCCGATAGCAAAGAAAGTGACAGAGGTTATTGAAAACGAAAAAATTTTGATTGACAAATTAATCGTATTCTCGACACAGCAATTTACTTGAACAGCAGAACTTTGTAAGTGAACAAGAAATTATGTCTGTTTATAGAATTAAAGAGAATGTATTATCACATAAAAAAACGAAACAACTTACATTGAAAAAAATGTTTATAAAGTAAACAAATAAATATTAAGCCTCTTTTTTTTTTTTTTTTTTGTAAATTTTGATATTCTTTAGATCATAATTGTTCTTTATTTCATAAATTACGGTTTCATATTTTTAATTTTATAATTTCTGCATGCCATCTTACCAGATTTAAACTGGTGATCTATAATCCGAAGTCCCGACGAGTCCGGATTAACGACTTTTGACTGTATAGACAATAAAAAAGGAAAACACCTTGGAAGGAAAAAAAGTAAGTTTTACTTGATTCTGCAAGGAAATTTACTTCTTACTGGTTACAAAAACGCACTTTAAACTAACTTTAATGTTTTTATTTATTTCTAAAAAATAGAAATAAAAGAAAGTAAGGAATGAAAATCGCTATTGTTTGGTTGCACATATTTTTTTGCCATGAAACACAATATAAAATTTACAGAGCCAAATGTATTCAAATTAAAATAATATGCGGCAATTAATAACACAAAATTACAAAATATTTGAGGACAAAATTATTTTCTGAATTTTAAAATACAACCACAGGTGTGTCGTAAATTTTATGAAAAAGCTCCCACGTAGCACAAAAGCCCAGTTTAAAAAAAATCAAATGACTTCCTATTGGCACATTCTATGATGTAGGGAAAGGTAGAAAGGAGGAATGGAAATGACCTTCAGACGTCTCAGCTTCAATATGCGAAAAATGTGCATTAAAAACTGAATTTGTCGTAAATTTTGCACATAAGCGCATGCTGGAAAGTTAAGTGGGGCTAAGCCTAATTTTTTTACCATAGCAGCCATTTTGTTTACATTTTAAACTTTGCAGAATAGTGAGTTTCTGCACCTTCAGTGTCTTTTTGCTTAGTGGGACCAAAAATAAACTTTCAGTTTTGTGTACCAAAAAATCTGCCTTCTTGCCCACTGGCCAAATTGCTTGTTTTTGCATAGAAACTCTAATTTTAATTGTAAAAATTGTTTTTTTAATTATTTTAACTGTATTTGGTATTTTATATTTTTATGTATTTTTTAATTTTTTAATAAAAGATATTTTGAGATATTTGAGGAATACATCTGTAATGAAATTTGAAGAAATAAGTTTAAATGAAATGGTGGGGAAAATGCATGTAATTTAATATTCCGTACAAGGAAGTCGTGGTGTACACATCAGATTTTTTTATCTGTTTCAATTGAGTTGCTGTCGCAATGTAATCAGCATAAATATGTCAAAATTTAAGTATGAATTTCATATCTTAAGAAAATATTGTTTGTTTTACCTAGTATTCGCAAGAATGCAGATGATTTGAAAAAAATACTGGATCGGGCTGTGGTCCCTATATTTTGCTCTACCAGCATTGGCGTAGATGCTGAAAAACAACAAAAGTTGTCAAAAGTAAGCATTTTATGTTTTTATCTTGAATTATAGTAAGTTATTTCTTTCATTTATATATTCAGTAATTTTATAATTATTCTTTTAAAACTTTTTACAATTTTTCAGTTGCATAAGCTATGGGAAACAAACAAATATTTTTCTCAAGAGGTGTTAGATGTAAGTATTTTATTTCTAAGATGTATTTAAAAATCAGCATTGTGATCAGCAAGATAATTTTATGTGAAATATACAATTATAAACATAAAAAATTATTTAAACTTTATTCCAGCAACTTCAAAATCCTGCTGCATCATTGGCTGCTTATCAGGTAAGTTCTTTTTATTTAGATTTCTTTCATACTAAATAATGAGAAAAATTTCTTTTTTGTAAAGGTAGCTGAAATATTGTTTTATGTGCATAATTCAGGATTTAACATGTGAATTTTTTTCTCAGGCTGGTTTGATTGCGGAATATGCAAGCTTAATCACACCCATTACAACTGCAATTCAGGCTCAATATTCTCTTCTTCAAAAACAGCATCAAGATTTTGTTGCTCATTTAACTGGGCAAATGCACCAAATGCAGGTAATATATTTGCTTTAACCATTATGCCAGCTATTGCTTTCCTTTAAAGGCAATGAATTTGAAGCTGAAATTTGTGTAATTGTAAATAACTTATTAAAGTAGCCGTTTTTTTTTTTTTTTTTTAAGGGGGGGAGGATGCTGGTTTGGAATAATGTAATTGGCCATATAGTTTTTTATTTAGTAGTTTGAAATATATTTTAAGAATTGCATAAGCTCTGTGACATTTTTCTAGGTGGTAAATTTAAGAAAATTAAGAGCAAGATTTCCTATGTTGTAGTTTCTGTATTAAAAAACTGCTAGCAGTTATCTAGGAATCTAGGAATAGCAAGTGCCATTGAAAAAACAAAAGGAAAATATAATTTGAGAATTAATTTAAGTAATAAGGGAATATTTTGGCAAACTTTGTTACAAAAATTCAAAAACCATTTTGCACTAAGCAGCTTCTGGGACACTAAGTTAATAAATATTATAGTGTGTAAAGTACTCTTCAACATTATTTATTTTTATCTAAGAAACCAAAGCTTGTTCTGCATATTGAAGAGATAATAGCATGGATGCAAGAATCAATAAAAGCAGTTTTTGTAAAGAATCTCCTTTGACTATCGCTTGTTTTAGGTGTATTTTGTTTATATTTAATGCATTCTATTTTTAGATGCCTATTAAGAGAATTTTTTTTTTTTTTTTTTTTTTTTTTGTTTTGTTTTTAAAGTGGGAATTTGAAATGTCATTGAAAATAGAAACTACTTAGTCATTAAAAAGACTATTATTTAAGTCAACTGATTTGCTCTTGCTGGGTAAAGAAACAAAATGGTTTTTATTAAAAATAAATCATCTGATAGAATGATAAATAAAATCGTTAGATATGTTATATATACATGTTAATATGATGAGGAATATTTTGTGTCCATGTGTAATTTATTATATACTAATTAAAATTTAGGTAGGGAAAGAAATTGCATAAAAACTACTTCAAGTATCCAACCTTTTGTTCATGTGAGTTCATTTATAGAACCTTCCACAAATGCTTCAGTTCCTTACCAGAGAGAGCCATTTGCAAATATCATGCTTCTTCTTCTTCTTCTTCTTCTTCTTCTTTTTTTTTTTTTTTTTTTTTTTTTTTTTTTTTTAAATCTCCTCTTCAATAGTTACTTAGTAATGTTAACAGGGTTCATACCGATCCTTACAAGTGCCTATGTCCTTATATTTGGAAATAAAATATAAAAGCCCTTATAGGTGCTTACTTTTTCTCTAAAGCACTTATTTTTTGTTGTTGTTGTTTTTAGTGCTTATTTTTTGCTTTTAGTGCTTTTTTTTTTTTTTTTTTAATGAACGCACATTTTCCCCGTGTACCGAAACTAAATAAACAACTTTTCTTCTTTATATGGAAAGTCAGATGGGGAATCATACTCCCAGAAATAGCTTTTCACCACTTTCTCTGCATAAATGTAACCTTTGGTGCGCGTGAGTACAGACAGGTGCATCTCGTGCTATTGGTCAAGGAATTGCGAAAGTGGTAGAAAATTTGCCGGTACATTCCGTATTCTTTTGCTTCCACTCAATACTACACACATTTGAATTTCTATCAAGATTTTAATAATTTAAATTCTCGCTCCATGTGGTCAGTTCATATTCACGTTTTTTACGATCGTTATGCTTGTATTATTAGCATATGTATGAATATTTATAATAATATATTTGCAGTAACTGCTGGAGTATAGATAAACTTCTAAAATGAGTAAGTGTGTTTTAACATGAATTAGTTTTCTAAGGAATAGGGCCCACCAGCGGCTGAGCGGTAAAGTCGCTGAACACTGGTAGTTCAGTCCGAGGTTCGAATCTCGCGAAAGGGCTGGCTGCATGGGCGTTTTCATGGTTTTCCCCATGTGTAACGTGTATAGGAGCCAGTTTCCCTTAGAAAGTCCTCCACGAAGGCATCCCTCCCTTTAGGCAAATAGCCCTAGTGTGCTTTGCCATAATTAAATACACCACCACTTTCTAAGGAATAATATTCGGAATGGCATAAATAAAGTGAAACTAATCGAATAGTCGAAATAATTTTTCTTTTTTTCGAATGCATTATGCAGTACGGAAGTTGCGGGTTTATCCCTTTTCTCCGCAAAATCTCGAATATTGAAACCATTACAGTTTGCTGCAAAGCAAGCAACAGACTTTTTTTTTTCCTTTTTTTTGGTCACTTTCCAACCTGGATTGAATAGCGCTAAAAGTTCTGTGGTCTACCAACCCAAGCGAAGAATGATTCTATTCCAGAAATTTAATGCACTCTGTTCAAAATTAGAATAAAAAACACCTCAGATATTAATCAATATGAGTATGGCAGGGATATCGTGCAAAGCGTGACGTGTCCTGCTCAGTGATAAATATGCCACATGGGCGCATCATGGTGAAAACCAGACGAATTCCTTTATTTAGTTATTTATTCTTTGAATCTGTTGATCCTGATTGCGTAATATCACATGCAGAAGAATTAAGGCGCACGTATTGCACAATAACGCTTGCCATATTTCGCAGAGATAAAAAAGTTTTATTGTGCTTGCTAAGCAGATTATTTTTCAGTTCCATTGGGCTATTTTTTTATATGACGCACATATCGAAATGTCAAATACATTATTTAGCCAAAAAATCTAAAAATGGCTACAATCTACCTCCGCTAATCTTTTTCCAGTTACTCTCGACTAATTTTAAGATATTCGGCAAATTCCGAAATTTTCAGATATTTGGCAATTTCCGAATGTACCGGTTAGTTAAGCTTTTACTGTTAAAGGATGACTGCATGAAGCAATTTCCCGTCTTCTGATTTCAGAAATGTTCCTTTTTTTACTTATTTTTACTTAAATTACTTTGCTTGCAATATCTGTTATACACTACTCGACATTGAAAATACCAAGAAGGAGTGATCAGAAATTTATGCAAATTTTAGAGTAGATGCACATCACTGAGTTATGCGAATGATGTGAAATGCGCAGCTCTCTGACGCACGGGAAGTAAGATATAAGGGAAGGAACTTGCAGAATGGGCAATATTCGTGTCATTATTTCTGCCAGACGAATTATAAGAAAGTTGGTTTTTGTCCCAGAGGATACTTGTAATAGGAGAGAATGCCAGGCCGCCATCAATGAAGGCATTTCCAGCAGATAGACGATTTTACAAGGGTTATGGTGATCGGACTGAGGGCGCGTTGATCCTTACGTCAAATCGCAGCTGATACCCACATGGATGCGAGTACAGTGCATCAGCTATGGCGAACATGGTTGGAACAAGAAAATGTGAGAAGAAAGAGGGGTGCAGGTGCAGCCAGAGTGACGTCAGCACGTGTTGATCGACGCAAGCTGTGGCGGTCCTGCAAGTCATTTGTACCACGATTCTGCAGCATGTGCAAGAGACCCTGGATGTTCCCGTGTCAACCAGAACCATTTCCCATCGATTGGTTGAACGTGGCCTGCACTCACGGCGTCCGTTAAGAAGACTGCCATTGACCTCACAGCATAGACGGCAACGTTTAGAATGGTGCCGGACTGGAGCGATGTGGATGACAGAATGACGAAATGTCGTGTTCTCAGATGAGTCACGCTTTTGTTTATCCAGTGACAGTTGCAGCATACGTGTGTGGCATCGACGTGGAGACAGATCTAATCTGGCAGTAACTGTGGAACACCCCACCAAGCGACAACGTGGCATAATGGTTTGGGACGCTATTGCCTACGATTCCAGGTCACCTCTAGTTCGTATTCAGGGCACTATGACGGCCTAATGATACTTGGATAATGTACTGCAGGCGGTAGCAATCCCCTACCTTCAGGGGCTCCTAATGCAATCTTTCAGCAGGATAATGCCCGAGCACACAGTGCTCGCATCTGCCAACATGCTCTGCAAGGTATACAGATGCTTTCCTGGCCACCGTACTCTCCTGAGAGGTCAGCAATCGAACATGTGTGGGATCTTCCCCTGCCTCGTTCAGAAGATGAACTGTGGCAAATGGTTGAAAAGGAATGAAGAGCCTTCCTTTAGGACACCATCCGCACTCTTATTGACACTATGCCTAGACGTGTTTCTTCATGCATCGCTGTCCGTGGTGGTCATACATCTTAGTGAGCCGACGTCGTTCTCGCTCTGTATTCTGACTATCATTTTCAAATAAAGATCACTTATTGTTGCTTGCTGTCTTTGTCTTTTTTTCCAAATTTCATCACTTTCTTATCACTCCTTTTTGGTGTTGCATTTTCAATGTCAAGCAGTGTACAATGAAAATTTAGAAAATGTTCAGAATTTTGATTTATGTTAAATTATTTAAATATTAATATGAGTGGGAAAATAAATTGTATCTATTTTTAGATGCCAAGTGAATATAATAAATATGGCTTATTATTATTTAGTTTCTCTATTTTTAACTGAAATTTCATCATTTTGTAATATAGTTTAGTTCTGCATAGTTTTTTTTTCCTCTCGTTGTAAACTAGTTCTGTAAATTGAACTGTTATTGAAAATTTTAAAACAAATGTAATTGTTTTCCATGGTTGAGTAATGCTCATTCTCTCTTAATAAATACTGAATTTCTCATATTTTAAATTAAAAGTCTAATTTTTCTGTTAAGGTTACGCAGTTGTGTATAACGTAATTAGGCAGGTGCTTATTATTTTTTTCTTAAAATGTGCTTGAAAAGTGCTTATAAGTGCTTATTTTCTTAACTAAAATGTGGCTTTAAACCCTGGTTAAGTACTTGCTTAATAATGATAATTATAGCTTTTGAATTTGGGAAGTCAAAATTAATTGCAGTGGAAGAGAAAAAAGTTAAATAAATGGTAAAGGAAAATATTTTCCTTATATATTAAAACATTGTCATTCAGTCGTTTCTTAATGTGCAGTCAGGGTTATCAGAGATGGTGCAACCAGGGTGGCCACATTGGACAACAGAATTTGGATGCAACATTGAACTTTTAAAATTCAGATAGGCATCAGGTGGTAGAATCTAGAAACCATAAAATGAGCATCATGCAGCAAAATGCCTGGTGTCTGCTTGTGCATAACAGCATGTAAGGCTTTTCATACCCTGTAACCTAATATTGTTTTTCTAGCATGTCTCTAATGATTTCTTCCAATTTTTCCTATCTCTTATATCCAGCTTTCGAGGCACTCCCAAGTTCATCCTTTTCCCTTGAAGTTATTTTTGGTGCATTTTTGTCATTTTCCTTTAGGAACTCATCTGAGTCCTATTCTCAGATTTTCTGAGGTTGGCATTCTTAATATGTATTTTTGTTTCAGCATTCTTAATATGTGTTTGCATATAATTTGGCATTAAAATTTTGATTAGCCAGCAACTCTTTAGAAATTGAGACATTTTGTTTGGAAGAATTCTTTAAATTTTCCCTGATTTTTGTTAGCTTTATTATTGCTGTTGAGTCAGTAAAATATTATGTCTGCTGTAATTCATTTTTGCGTATATAAAGTGTTTAAATTTTTTTTTTTTTTTTTTTTTTTTTTTTCATTTTTAAGAATTTTTTTTCCTTTCATTCATTCTACTTCAAATACAACTTTATTTCATATGAGGAAAGTATTTTGTTTATATCAAAAAATGCATCATTAGCCTAAAGCAATTATTGCTGCCCATGTATCTACATTCATTCCCAGCATTTCATTTTTTCCTACCTTTTCATTGAAAATGACAAAAAATGTCTCGGGCTTTTACATTTTATTCTTAAATACTGATATATATGTATAGTTGATATATTATTTATGGTTCATAAATTCAGTTCTCTCCAAATGTAATGAAAATTTGAATTTTTGCAATGAAGGTTTTTCTATAGATGTGGGATACATTTTTGATAGACTCATTTGTCACCAACCATAACTGATAAAATGAACTCTGTGTACTTTTCAGTGATATCTTTACTGGATAATAAATTTTTTTCTCCATTAGAATTGAGAAGTATATTTTATATTGTGTTTTCTCAGAGACTTCTTAAAAATCTGGAATTTTTATACATAAATTTTAGTTTAAAAAGACTTCATTTTCATATTTTGCTGAGTTACATTCAATCATGGATATTCTCCATTATATTGTGGGAAATTCATCTTAGTTGCAAGAGTTTGTCTCCTATTAAATAAGCATTTCAGTTACATTTTAGAGAAAAAATTGTTTAATGCAAATTTGAATACTATTGTAATGTTTTTGGAATGCATTTAACATTACAAAAATGGATTATTGTTTGTTTTATTGCTTTCTTTAAAAATCCAAGCCACACAGTTATAATTTTTTGAATCGACTTGAGAACTTGAACACAAGATCAACAATCATATCCTTTTTTTCCTCCTGAGTTCTGTAGCATTTATTTATTTATTTTTGTTTTGTTTCAGCAAGTAATACAATAAAAACTTCTTGAACACAATTATCTGGTTATTCCCTTGTTTTTTTAATTTTTGTTTTTATTTATATTTACTATATATTTTTACAGGATCTGAGATTTTTAGAAGAATGTTCACCTGAATTAAATAATATTCTGCACGCATCACTGTCAAAAGTCGTTGGTCAAGATTTTATTCCTTTCTTTAATTTTTTAAATATTATATATTTTTCTCATTTTAAAGATTCCTGTTCCATATGCATTCCAGTCACCCCCAAATGTGATGCTGCCAGCACAGCAAGCCATGGCTGCTGCACCATATCTGCATCCTCCCCGACCTGCATATGAGCAGCCAAGCTTACCTCCTATGCAACAACCACATCAAGATCCCAGAATGCAAATGGCCCAGGTAAATGTAATATTGTGCATTGTTTTGTGTATTGTAATTCCATACTATTTAAATTGTAACAGTTAAATTTGAAGAATAAGTTCATTTGATTGTATAAATTAGATGAGCTTTCAAGGTAAGAATATTTTTGAAAGTAAAAAGTACAATATTTTTGTCTTTATTACCCTTGTATTTGAAGAGGAGTCAATGCAAAGCAGATTAAAAGCTGTATTGTAAATTTTTTTTTTTATGACTCAGCAACTTGTTTAAGGATGATTTTTTGCAATATTTATATATTTTTGGATTATGTACAATAAAATTACATATTGTGGATAAAAACATATCGTAAATACTGTGATGTCATGTACTGTTACAGCAAACGTTCCAAACATTTTCTTCCCTTTTTGTATTTCATGTAGAAATTTTGCTTTATTAATGGTCTGTAATAGTAATTTTTCTGTCATTCTGCAATAAACAAACTTAGACAAGCCTTGGTTAATCTGCCTCTGATTTTTCAAGTGTTGACTGTATTATGTTTTTTTTTTTTTTTTTTTTTTTTTTTTTTTCCCATCTAATGTATTGTGTCAGTGTTATGTAATGTACAATTTGTCTTCAGCCTATTCGAGAATTGTACAATAGTAAAAATTAACAGCAATTAAAAATGAAGAATGAGCTGTGGAACTTTATGGAATGAATTTGTGTATTTCTTTTGTTAAGTTTTCATTTTCATTTGTTGTTCCAATTTTATTTGGTCTTATTTTATTTTCAAAAATTATTTATTGATCTAAACTGAATTATCAAAGTATGGCTGTATCTTGAAGTATGAACTAACATAGAGAATTATGTGTACAATTTTTAAAAAAATTGTTATTAAAAAAACCTGAGACGTATGTTGAAAATTTTCATATTGATCATTAGTAGCAGATTTTATTTCCAGTGAAGGTTCATGTTTTTTTGTAAATTATATGTTATAGGACATGCAAATTGTAAGATAATATTTAATTTGTAAAATGTCTTTTGGTTTTGCACTTGATTTACTTATGCTTCTGAATTTAAATGATATTGTAGATTAGTTCAAGAATGAAATCTTTTATATGTTTGCACATTTTTTAAAATTTTTTTAAAAATTATTTTGGCTTTTTTTTTCTTTATTTTGGCTTTAAATTTGCTTTTTTACTTTTTTACTTTTATACGTGTTTGTTAAAATTTAAATTTAAATTTGTTTAAATTTTCTTTTTAATTTAGTTATATCCATGTTCTATCCTCAGAATAGTAAACAAAACTCTCTGGAATCTGTTATTCCGGAATAATGGCTATTGTGCGTATTGGCTACTGTTGCATGATGCATGTAATTACACATATAATAGCGATAGTGAGTAAAATAATTATCTCATGATGTTTAAATCATAACATTTGTTAACAAGTAATTGCAAAATGATACTGTGTTCCTTTTTGTAGAAATTTAAAAAAAAAAAAAAAAAAAAAAATTGCCATTTCTTAATTTACAGAAAAATAACCTACCAAAATAAATAAAAAATAAATAAAATAAAATAAAATAACTTGCTTTTATCTACTGTTTCAATAATCTTTCAGTGATCTTTCCTATAAAAAGCTGTTTATAAGGAAACTTGTGAGGAAAAGAACTAGATGCATTTAAACATTTGCTTTATAAGAATGCCGAGAATATAACACCGATTTAATAATCAGTTGTGTTGTGAAACCTTTCTTCTAAAGCTTTTGTTTTAAGATCATAATAAAAATTTAAGCATTCCCCCCTCCTGGTTTTCAGTGATAGAAAAGATAGCTTATTACATTAAAAATTTCAAGTTTTTATTGCTATAAAATTTATTCTTCTATGTAATTCATTTTAACAAGTCATTAATTGTTGCTTTTATATTTTTGTACTAATATACACACACTGGCCAATGAATTAGAAACCCAAGAACAATATTTTATTGGACCACCTTTTGCACAGATAACTGCTCTGATTCATTTGGACATCGAGTCTACATGCTTCTGAAGTGCATTTACATCCAGAGAATACTGTGCATTGTCTATGAAGCTTTTTAGATCTTGTAAATTAGACGAAAAAGGAAAGTGCTGTTGGATGCATCTTTCCACTATATCCCACACATTTTCTATGGGAATAAGATGCGGTGGCCTGGGAAACTGTTTGAAATCAGACTGATGTTCAGTGAACCAATTTTGAACACTTTAGGCCCGATGTGTAATGCATTTTCGTCTATGAAGTATCTGTTACCATCAGAGTAAAAGTGCAACATTGCAAGGTGTGTGCACTTGATCTGCTAGTATATCTAGGTACCTCGTGGCTGTTTGTTTACCCTTGAAGAACACCAGGGACCACTTCAATGCCAGTAGAACATGCCCCATATCATGCACAGTGTGAGTAAGGCAAGATGGCTTCATGGGGTTCTCTTCAAATTCGATGTCTTCCATCAGTGCAAAATAAGGTGTTTTGTGATTCATTCAACCATATTACCCATTTCCAATCCTCAGATGTCTAGTGTCTTCTTTCCGACACCGCTGTAAACGAATTCCTGTCTGTCGGGCAGAAATGAGTGATTTTTCTCACAGGCACCGGACTATGCATTCTTATCCTCTGCAATTCTCTGTGCATGGTTCGAGCTGAAAATTTGTTGGGAAGAGCCTTGGTTGACAATCTGTGTCAGTTAAAGCACAGTTGAGTCCCTGTTCTGCTGTACAATTCATCGGAGACGATGCTGATCACCGTCTTGGAAAACTGTGCTCAAACTGCAGTTACGTCTTCTAAAGAAGGACTGTGGATTCTGATTCCAACTTTTGAAAACCTTTGATATGGCTGCTTTTGAGAACCCAGTGAGATTTGCTGTTTTTGAAATTGAGGCCCCTGCTAAATGGCACTAACAATAAGCCCTTTTTCAAATGGTGAAAGATCTATCGTTTTTACCGATTTCACTGCGATTATCATAAAAAGCAGTCTTATGCCTTACTTATACCAGCTTTCTAACCACATGTAACTCATGTCATAGAACAAATTTAAATACTTCATCCTTAGCATGCATTCAAATGAAAATCTCAAACGTTTCTAATTCATTGGCCAGTGTATGTATATTCTTTAAAGAGATTTACTATTTTTTCTAACTGCTGTAAGTTTTCTGCTTGCATATTTAGTTTTATGTATGTTTGAATAAGGTTGCTGAGGAGGCTCCAAAACCTGGCCCAGATATGGCTCCAATGAGGCCATTAGAGGCACAAGACACAGAGCAGAAAGAGAAGGAACAACTTACTGAAGCTGATGCTAGGCCACCAGAAGAATGTCCACCTGAAGGCAGAAATGCAGATGGATTGCCTTCAGATAGACGTATTATTATTATTATATTTTAACTTTATTTTCTTTTTGTCTTGTAAATTTATTTGTAATAGACTAATTTAACTCGCTCGTTTACCCCTCTTGTTTTTAATCAGCACCTGAACAGTCATCATCAGTACCACCTAGTCATCCTCATGACTTTCCTCCATCTGAAATGTGTGAAACGGGTTATGGACATCCAGATTTGCCTCCACGCCATCCAAATGGCCGCCCAATGGGACCAGGTCGCTATATGGATGATTACTCACCTCATTATGGTCATCCTCCACCCCCAGCCTATGCTGCAGAGCCTCCTGAATATGGAATGACACCTCCTCATGTAAATAATTATGGTCGCCCTATGCCTTTCAGAGACGTACCTCCCATGGGTTAGTTGTGCAAGGTTTTTTTCCCCCGCTATTTAAGAATTATTGTATTATACAAAAAAATTGTATTACTTAACACATCGTTCAATAAGTCCCGGGACTCACCAATAGATGACGTAGTAATATCAACTTGGCTTTGTTGTTCAAAAGAACTAACCTTCAAATGACACATGTCTGATTTTCATGGCATTCGTACCGGAAACAGCGAAGCTACTTTGGTGAAAGTGACACTACTTTTGCATTTGTGGACAAAATGGAGAAAAAGGAATTTCAAATGTTGATAAAACATTGCTATTTAATGGGGGAAGATACCGTCCAAACTCAGCAATGACTTAAAAATTTTATCCAGGCTCTGCTTCATCGAAAACAACCATTTGCCATTGGTATGCTGATTTCAAGCACGGTCGCACGGATACAAATGATGCGGCACGTTCGAGTAGGCCAAATGAACCTGCCACTCCGGAAAATGTGAAACCAAGTGTTGAAAATCATGATGAATGACTGCAAAGTAAAATTTCGTGAGATTACTGAGATGGTAAACATATCAACTGGAAGTGTGTGTACGATTTTACATGAAAAGTTAGGCATGAAAAAGTGTTTTCCAAATGGGTGCCTCATGTGCTCACAATGGAACAAAAGCAACAACAAATCGACGATTCACAGAGCTGTTTGTCACTGTTTACTCACAATAAACAGGATTTCTTGCATTGGTAAGTGACAATGGACAAAACTTGGATTCTATTTCACTCCAGAGTCGAAGCAGCAGTCAGCTGAGTGGTATGCAGCTGATGAAAGCCATCTGAAGCTGTGGAAATTATTTTGATTAATTGATAGATGGCGCTAGCGTTGCGTGTTAACGCGACGCGACGTGCCTTCTGAATTTCCATAGACTCTCCACCGGCAGTTCGATAGATGGATGTCTGATGGTTCGCACACTATTTGATTAGGAACACTTCGGTTCTTATTTGATTTCGATTTTCGATTATGAAAGCATATACATTTATTTGTCAACTGAACCACCATGTTTGATCTATGATCTGTAAATATTGTACATGTTAAAAGTTACATTTAAAAAGTGATTGATGTCGATTTATAGATCTTAGAATATTTTGAAACAGCTGGTGCATTAGGCCGTCATTGGATTTAGCACGTTGCAAGTGTGCGAAGGTAAGGCTAAACTTTCTGATTTGTAGAGTAACTATGGCGGAAGAGTCTGTTATTAAATTAAAATCGAAACGCAAAGTTATCAGGACCACCGTGTCCAAGATTCTAAAAAAAATCGAATCGGAGTTGAATAAAGAAGAAATTGATACAAGTACATTAGAAGAAAATGTAGATCAATTAATCACGAAATCAAAAGCTCTGAGTGAGTTAGATGCTCAGATAGAGCGTGACTTGAAATCAGAGGCAGAAGAGTTTGAAACAGAAATTCTATCTTGTATCGAATACGAAGAGAAAATTCAGTTATGGCAATTCAGAGCAAATAAAAAATTGAAAGAATTGAATAAAGTAACAAATTCGGATAATGAAAACTCTCTTAACGAAACTAATTCTAAAATCGAAAGCAATAAATGTACGCGTCTGCCCAAAATTAACCATCGCTAAATTCTATGGAGATTACACCCAGTGGACAAGTTTTTGGAACTCTTTCAAGGTAGCAATCCATGATAATGAATCTTTAACAAAGATCGAAAAAATTTAATTATTTAAAATCGTACTTATGCGGCAACGCGCAAACGCGATAGAAGGCTTTTGCATTTCGGAACCAAATTACGATGAAGTTGTCGAAATACTTAAAAACAGGTTTGGCAGAAAAGATATAATTATAAACTCACACATGCAAAAACTCCTGAATCTTACCCCAGTAACCAAATCCAGTGACACTGTAAAACTTCGCAAACTTTGTGACACTATCGAAACTCAAATACGCAGCTTGAAATCATTAGAAGTCACACCGGATAAATACAGTTATATGTTGATTCCAGCCATAATGAAAACTCTGCCGTCTGATATAACCTTAGAATTTAATCGTAAAACGGATTCGTCATCCTTTTTTAATGTTGACGAATTATTGCACTTTGTTCGTTTAGAATTGGAAAGTCGCGAGAGAAGCCATCTTTTGCTCTCCACTCATAAATCAGAAAGCACTTCCTGTGTTTATAAAGAGAAGGGTGGGAAGGGGAGTATCGTTCCATTCCACTTACCAGCTGCTTGGCGCCGGTTAAAGAAAACAAAACTACTAATTGCTGTCTGTTTTGTAATACATCCAAACATGTTACTGAAGACTGTGAATCACTGACAGTTGATGAGAAGAGAAATTTATTACGTAAACATTCCCGATGTTACCTTTGCCTGAAATTCAAACCACCGCCTAAAGCAGTGTCGAAGCGATCTCGTCTGCTCCAAGTGCAAAGGTCGACATAACCGTTCAATATGCTTTCGCGCTGAGAAAGAACGAAATGAAAAAAATAAAAGTATAGAAGATTCGCATGTTCTTTCAGCATTCTCACGCAGCAAAATTAAAACTATTTCACTTCAAACGTGTTGCGTAACACTTCGAACAACTACGCAGTCGGTTTTAATTAGAGCTCTACTGGATTCAGGTAGTATGCGTTCCTTCCTAAGAAAAGAAATCGCGGATAAATTGAAGCTTCCTGTTATTCGAACAGAGACTCTTTCGGTATTTACGTTTGGAAATAAAACACCCATTAGAAAAAACATTTGACGTTGTTAAGATAAAATTACAGAACAAGGAAACACCGAATTTGAAAATCGAAATTGAAGCTCTCGTGACTGAACAAATTTCAAGTTCTGATTTACCACCTCCTAATCTTGGATAGACACATTTTAGGCAAACAGTTAGAAGGTTTACAACTCGCAGATTCTTGGGATTGCAAAGAAAAAAATTACTCTTTTGATAGGAGCTGATCATTATTATGATGTAGTAACTGGGAAACTTAAGCGTTTAAACAAACATTTAGTAGCTGCTGAAACGTTATTCGGTTGGTCTCTGCTAGGTTACACTAAAGGTACAACACACACGTCCACAGCCTTTAATATCATAGTTGAGGAAGATATAATATCTGATCAGATAAAGAAATTTTGGGAGCTTGAAAGTTTAGGAATTAAACCTGAAAATGAATTATCCGACCCATTAGACAATACCATAATGGAAAAATTCGAATCGGAAATTTTATACAGAAATTCTCGTTACAAGGTTAGGCTGCCATGGAAGTCTGATAGACAATATGAGTTACATGACAATAAAGCGATTGCGCTGCTGAAACGATTTGAGAAACTTGTAAAGCGATTTCAGAATAACCCTGAACTCTTTTATTCGTATCAAACAGTTCTACAAGATTATTTACAACAAAACATCATTGAACCAGTTCCAGACACTGTTGATAGTGAATCTCAAATCACATTTTATTTGCCTCACAGAGAATATTGGTCCAAATTTGTATCCAATCTGACATTCTTGAAGTTCTGTTGGCCTTTAGGCTTCACCCTGTAGCATTTACAAGTGACATAAAGCAGGCTTTTCTTCAGATAGAAGTAGATGAGAAGGACAGAGATGTAACGCGTTTTCTGTTTACTAAAAACCCATTCGATGATCCACAAAATTTTATAACTTATCGGTTCACACGTGTGTTATTTGGCGTAAATAGCAGTCCATTTTTACTGGCTGCAACCATTAAACACCATTTGAAACAATATGAGAAAACCTACCCTGCCACTTGCGAATTTCTAAATGATCACATTTATGTAGATGACATCATTGGAGGACACCAAAACGTTGAACTTGCTTTCAATACCAGTTTAGAATGCGTCAGCATTTTTAGAGATGCTAGTATGATTCTACATAAATGGCACACCAATTCTCAAGAACTGCGCGAATTATGGATTAAAGAAGGTATTGAATCCAAGGAATCTAGTCATGTTTCGGAAGCTGGAAATCCTCCATTGAAAGTGTTAGGAGTCGCTTGGGACAACCAAAGTGACATAATTTACTTTGATGTAAAAAATTTGATAACATTTCTCTCAAAACAAGTTAATACTAAACGTTTCGTCCTACAAGCAATAGGACGAATTTTTGATCCTGTAGGTCTATTATCACCGTTTGTACTTAGAGTCAAAATCATATTGCAGCAAATTTGGACACTTGCTTTAGATTGGGATGATGAACTACCAGAAAATTTATGTTCTGTATGGAAAACATGGTGCAAAGAAGTTTCCAATTTATACGAAATCGGTATTCCACGATATTATTTTTCTGCAATCGGTAATAGTGATGTGGAACGGATTGAACTGCACTGTTTTTCTGACGCTAGCAAAAAGGCGTATGGTACAGTAGCGTATCTGCGTAAAATTTCTAGCAATGAACAAATATTTACGGTTTTTGTTGCTTCAAAGACTAGAGTAGCGCCTTTAAAACCGCTCACCTTACCTAGGTTGGAACTAATGGGAGCTCTTTTGTCAGCCAAATTAGGCACTAGCATCACTAAAGTTTTGAAGTTACAACTTCTTGTTTTTTCTGGACTGATTCGAAAAATCACACTTTTCTGGATAAAAGGACTGTGCAAAGAAATTTAAGCTTTTCGTTAAAAATCGTATTCAGGAAATACAAAATTTGACATCCCCAGAAAATTGGCATTATTGCCCCGGTAAATGTAATCCCGCTGATTTGGCTTTGAGGGGAGCTAAACTTCCAGATTTGAAAAACAATCCAGTCTGGTTTCAAGGACCAGAATGGCTTAGAATGTCGTCTGAGTTGTGGCCTCGACAGAATGAAGAGAAACCTGTCACTGAAGAAGAATTAGAATACCGCAAAAATATTAATGATATTTATGAATTTGTATGCACGGCAGTTGAAGAAAGGGTAATAGACATCTCAAAATATAGTAATTTAAGAAAATTGTTGAGAATAACTGGTTGGATAAAGAGATTCATCGGTAAAATTAGGAAAACAAACCATTTGACAGGTCCATTAACGACTGAAGAAA